ACATTTCTGTGTGCCACACAATTAGTAATTTCGCCTGTACAGTCATGAAAAGAAATCTCTCTCTAATTTGTGTGTGCGTATGTATCTTTTCATATTTTTTAAAAAACTTACCGTAGGTTAAAATCTAATCAGGAAAAAAGGGAGTCACAACCTATCTAAAAATAATTTTGAGGGAAAGCCATATTGCAATTCTTAAATTAAAAGCAAAGCACTGCACTGTCTTAAAACAATTACCTTTACACACAAAATTGGGGGCCTTTTTCCTAATTATGGCATCATTTCTAAAATCAAAACTCAATCTTCAGTGATCAGTTTTTTTTTGTTTAAGAAATGAAACATACGAAATATAAGAAAAACACTTTTTTTGTTATACTTCACCTGTCTATCCATAAGTATATATATTTTGACTTTGAAAATAACAGAAAAAATGTGTTTAAATAAGGACTGGAGAGTTTAATGTTTCTATTAAATTTCAGGGCCAGTACAAGTTCCCTGAGGTGGCTTTTCTAACACCTACAATTTGTAGAGGTTTTCCACTAGAGAATACAGCCTAATACACAGGTTTTCTTACTTTCAAAAGGTTTTGGGCTTAAAATCCATTGCCTTTACATTCAAATTCTATAGTTTACATTTCTTCTTTAAATTGCAAGCTAAGTTTTGCCACTCTATTATATTTCTAAATAAATTACTCTACTCAAAAAATAAAATAAAATAAACCTTCATAAGTACAAAAGAAGGTAAATGGGGGAAAGGTCAATCACAAGTGTGATAACTTCAAAATGTGCCAAGTTACAAAGGGTTAGCTACTGTGACAGCCAAGTTAAACAAGGCACTTCTGGGGCTCTCTTTCTCCCTGGTTCCCACCACGCCTCTCCAGAGGTCCCTGGTATGGGTTTATGAACACCTGAGGGTTCAGATATCCTAATTGTGTCTTGTGTTTAACTTGGCTATTTAAATGACTAAGTGCTCCCCTCTCTCCTTCCCAGCTTTATAACTTGGCTCTTACTGAATATATCACACCTTTATATAGTGGACCACTTTTTCCTTTTTACAGTGCTTTTTGGAGGAAATTTCAAAAAAAAAATTGTTTGTTATTAGGTAAAAAGGCCGAGAAACTTCCACCAGAGAGGCACCACAAGAAAGAGAATAAATAGCCAGCAAGAAAAATAGAAATAGGTCACAATTGACCAATTTGATGCAACTGATTTGCTGCCTCTAAAAATAAGCTGACAGCAGAACTATTTTGAGTCAGGTAATCTACTCAAGTACCATGTCTACTCTCAGGAATTGAGACAAATATCCAAATAATATAAATGGGGCAGAAAGAGTGACTCATTTAATTGTCTGTCCATCCATCCCTCTAAATACTGGCTTTAATTCTCCATCTCATTCAACAGAAGGTGTTATCCTGAAGATGCGTACAATAAGGACAGAGTAAGTTTCTCGACTTTGTATGTGGGCTGATATAATTTTGATGCTAGGGCTTTGAGAGGCAGGAGGGGTAAAGGAGTTCCATGTTTCAAAATACATTTCCAGCTTTTGCAAATAGAAAAGTGCATCTTTTCGGTGTTTAACAGGTTTAATGCACTTCAGAAGAGGTAAGTAGACCAACCAGGGCCCGCTCCACTGAAGCCAGAAATATGGTACCTACTCTCAGGAGGTGGGTTCTTAGGACAATTACCCTAAAGTTTCCTACAAACAAAAAACCCAGCATACTTTTTCAAGTAAACATAATTATTCCTTCAGAGTACTAAATTATGAGAATTCACACAATAAATTCAACTGTTAATAGCAATGTCCTGGTAGTCTGTATTTTTAAGCATTTGGTTGAAAATAAAAACTCCAAACCTAACTGACATTGTGTCTTAATGTTTTTATCTGCCTTAGGTAAATGACTTTCCTGAGATATAAGTTTCAAATTAGGATATCAAATTGACAGTCATGTCAGCAATATCTTTTAAATCTTGTTGGTTAAAGCACTAGTATGTATGTGAGACAGAAGTTGGAAATTGAGTGCAGAACTTCATGTTTTATTTAGAAGGGCCTATTGCATTTTCATGGTTTCCAATGCCTCCTTCAAGTTGGTTATAATCTACATGGCTTTGAAATACTGTCACTCATCTAATAAAATCAGACGTTTTATCTCTTAATTGCAAACCTATTAATCAGTTATTCATAAACGAAAAAACACAACAGGACTGCCTTTCTATACCTGCTGATAGCAAAGTGTTGTTCACTGCATATTACTACTAATATTATACCAGAACACAGGTCGTAATAACACCTCCCTAGCTTTTCTATGATCCAAGGGTGACCTTCTGAATGATATAATGGACAATCCGCATACTCAGAACACTCCTACAACACATTTTGAAAAATAGGAGATCGTTCCAAGAAGACATAGGGAAATCAAAATACTGAAGAGAAGGCTAGGTATTTAACAAGAGCCACCCAGAATGCCCTTTCTGTTCTTCAAAACCGCTACTCATATCAAAATCATTCGTTTAGTATAGCTCATGTACATATGAATTTTTCAAGGTATATCCTGAAGAAAAACAATCCGCTCTTCAGTGAGGACTGTACTATTTTTATTCCTGTCTTCAGCTTCTCATCCCCCAAAGCCTAACCAGCCCACCTGAGGCCATTCGCTCTTTTGGGAGTTGTCCAAGTAGCTGATAGGAGAGAACAGCACTGTGTTCCGCGCCCACACAGAATCTGGAAGCTAAATCTTTGTTTTTAAAGTCAATAGTTTATTTAGAATTTGGTAGTTGAAACAGATGCTGTGTCTTTGTGGGGAAGGTATTTGGATAATTTTGCAACATGACAATAAAACAAAGAATAAAATGTCCTCTTGACTCATTCTTCATTTGCCATTTTTTGCTTGTTAACCTAAGAACTGCACAGGTATTTTGCAGTTCGACTTATCAAGCCTGCCCAGCGAATACCGTCAACTGACGGATTCCCTTAACCGCCCAGAAAATCCTACGTGCATGAGAAGAAATCCTCTTCAGGAAGCACAGGGAACAAACGCATTCAGTCAACCGAACTTTCGCTGTAAATTCACTCCAAAGGCAGGTGAACCAAATGCTCAGAAGCTGCGAGTAAGCAAAACTGCCAATCGTACAAACTTTAATAAACTTTTTTCTTTTTTTTTTTTTTTTTGGAAAAGAAAAAGCCCTCCCAAATTCCTGCACGGGGTTTCAGAAGCTTCTTGGAGCCCTTTCCACCGGACAGGCACCCACCGCTATCCTAATTCAACTTGGAAAGTTCTTCTTTCCAAGTGACTAGGAAGAGGTTTGTCCTGGTACTCTGCTCAGCGTTACTTTCAAGAAAGCTGGGGTCTCGGGCAAGTCCCCCCGGCGCCAGCCTGGTCCACCGTTACCCTGACACCCGCGCACGCCCGTGGCGTTTCTTTTTTCACTGTCGACACTTGGATCTTTCAGGCCCTGGGTCTAGGTTTCCCCCAGAAAAATGCAGGGGCCCATGTGAATGGAAACCACCAGACACACAGTGTGGAGACACATGCCAATGATTCACCTCGTTTCCGAACTAAAACTTCTGCGCTTTAGGAAAAAAGCAAGCGTTCCACTCGGCAAGGCCCTCCCCCACCCCGTCCCTAACCAGGAGAAGAAAGGGCTTTGTGTGTGCGGTGAGAGCTCCGTTCATCGAGTTCATAAATGCACAGCGGCCGGGGGCCGGGAGGCGTGGGGCACCGGGCCCTGCCCACCCCTTTCCCCCAGGCCGGCGGCGAGTCCGGAGGCCGGTGCGGGAACCGGGGCCACTGGGCGCCGCGGCCCGGCAGCTGGGAGGAAGAGGATGCTGCGCCGCCGGGGACCAGAGGGCGGGGCCGGGCAGCG